GGTACCTACAAAATTTAGGCATCTGTGGTAGATGTCAACGTTTCGATTTTTCTAGATTTTAGCTTTCGTTACGATAGTGTTCATCAAAAGTATTAACGTTTGAAACGTTACGTTGCGCATTATGAAATTTTATGGCATAGAGTAACGTTACGTAATGAATTTTCTGCACTTGAATACCTTATACAACGTTAAGCTTTTGTAAATGTTGTGAAAAAAACAGAAAGCTCCGTTACGCTTTTGCATTTTCCGTTTTAAAAAACTTTCCCAACGTTGCGTTAAAGCTAATGTAATAAAACCACAATTTTTTAACGTTCCACTTTCATGCAAGGTAAATATTTTCAGAGACCTTACGTTACACTTTCACTTGGTTTAAGATCTAAAAGATGACAAACGTTTTGCTTTAATAAAACGTCATTGGGGCATAGTTCTNTAGAGATTAGAAAATTATAATTTGTGGCGAATTTTTAGGTCTTTTTGTGTTTTTTTTTATGTTACTTACAAAGTGAGTAAAAAAACGGCATTAGCTTTAGTTTACAGACCACAATGAAAATGTTTTCAGAGTTTATGTTTGGGGTTAAAAATATCAAATATAGTAAGACAAGTGCTAAATTTGTTTAACACAAACAACGCAAAATAAAATTATTTAACACATTTTTTTTTTAAATCGATTAAAAAGTCAGTTTTTTTCTATTCTAAAGTTTCATAAAAATTTAAACATAATTGCATTTTCCAATTGATAAAATATTGTTGCATTTTAGTAAGTATCTACATTTCTAAATTTTTCAACCTAAAACATGAACCATGCCAACAGAAGTTATGATTTCAAGTAGTCAAATAAATATGAAACCCAGCAATTGTGTTTGTTCACAGACCCGTTCCACTTAAGTTGATTTTTTTACAATTAGTAAATCTTTGCTTTAGAACAGAAAATGCATATGTAAAATTTCTTAATGTCGTCTTCCTTTTCCAGAGTTTTAGTGGGTTTCATCAAACAAGAAACATTTATAAGATTTGAATTTTCACTAATAGCATGCTACAAAAAACTCGTTTACACTTTAGTTTTTTTTTCAAATTTACTAATCCCTATATCTTTCCAACCCGATGGTTTAAACCTTGTATATTTCGATATTAATGGTCTACGACATCGGATTGCAAAGATATATTAAATGAAAATAAGAGTTTTTGGCATAAACTCATTTTCTTTGAACTTGAAATGAAAAACCATAAGTCTTTGCTCTTATAATCATCAGTCGAATCTCTTACATTGATATATTAGAGACGTTTTGAAATGTTTTGATTGACAGAATTCTTGTTACACTTTTGAAATTAAAACTCAGCCCTCATAGTCTAACGTTTTATGTACAACATTTTCAGCAGACATATATATCTAACGTTAGACTAATCAATTTAGTATTCAGAGAAAAGTTATGAAACATTATGATTTACAGAATTACATTTTTTAAATGTTATACGTTTACATTATTGAAATTTTACTCTGTAAAAAAAACTTTCGTTTCCTGATTATTAAAATAATTATCCATTTTTGCAACGTTGAATTTTTCATTATTCTATAAGGGAAAACGTTTCAAAACGTTTTCATAAACAGTAATTTATTTTTCAGTTATACAACGTTACACTTTTTATAAGTTGAACTTTGAAATAGATATCCTTTCGTTACGATATTCAATCAAGTCCCAATTCATTTTTCAAACGTTAGACTTTCAAGCTCCCCTTGGAAATAAAACATTTCTTTACGTTATGGTCAAAAAAGTTGTAGATATTAGAAAAATAACGTTACGTTTCCACAAAACGCTAACGTTGGGGGTATATTCCTCTAACGTTAACGTTTAACTTTAACGTTAGGTATGAGCTCCTATAACGTTAACGTTTAACGTTCACGTTATATAGAATATATCCAAACGTTACACATTATTGTAACGTAACGTACAAAAACGTACATTTTACGTTACGTTACACTATCGTTGACATCTCTAAATTCTGTGGGTTATCGTACTTTTTAGATTCTTTCCGTATTTAATGAAAAGAGACATCAGATAGAACAAATATCTGTCGCGATCAACAGAATTTTTAAGGCTTCAGCCTATACCCCTTTTCATTTATCTTAACAAAGAGGACCATTGTGAAGCGACAATGCAAATCTTTAAATAGTGGGTACTATAAAATGTTGTTTCCAGATCATGAGTAAGTTTTTAACTTGTAAAATGTAGGCTTTACAAGTTTGCTTTTAATGCATTGTAAACATTTTTTTCCCTGAAAAATAAGCTTCTAGCAAACCAACAAAATTTATTAAAAGATTTTACCATTTTTTTCTCAGAATCTCAAAAACGAATAAAAACGAAGCTTATCTCTTTACGTAAATAGTATCTCAATGAATAAACTCACAAAAAAATCCTTCAAAATTTGCTGCAGATACAATTGCTAGAAACGCCGTTATAAGAAAGTAACCTTACAATTATTTATGAATACTAGAAATTCAAGGCGCTTCGCGCCCTTCTTTCTAGCCTTAGAGGGCGCGACCATCTCCTAAATTAATTGTGAACATGTTCTCTTTGTGTACATCGTAAAACAAAACAAAAATAATTCGCGGATTTTCACAAAAAATTTCGCGGATTTTCAAAATTTAAAAAGATTTAATGACGATCGAATTTTGATGGAGACAAATATTTGAAATTTTGATGATTCATAAACCTTCGCTGGAGTCCCTAGATGTCCCACAAAAAATTTGGGCCCGATCGGTTCAGCCGTTTTGACGTTTATTGGATACAAACAAACAGACAGACAGACAGACAGACAGACAAGCCAAATTTATATATAGATTTGTAAAAAATTTAAACAGTGACGAAAATAATAAATCACCTAGACATTTTAAATTTAGCATAGTAAAATTTTTTTTGGAAAACAGGAATTCTTATTTCATTTCTTCCAAAAATATTCTCAAAATTTGAAATGTGAAAACTACCTTGTCCCAATGAATCCATTCTCTTGAAAAGATACAATCCTGTCTCCAAGTACACCTAGCAATATTGGGTTAACCGCATCTCATTAAAGGGACAGATAGGCTATGTAAGGTAGTTAAACTGAGTATGCAGTGGTGTGGACAAATTCTTTAGGATTCATTTGAGACATATAAAACTTTTCCACGATGTATATTTACTGAGTTTGAGTGCATAGTTTTTTCAGAATCGTTTTTTTTTAAATTATTAAATAACGACGACAAAAAAATAGAGTAAAAATTATACAGTAAACTAATTAGATGGTTAGGAACATATTTCTCTGAAGAAGTTTATCAAAAAATTAATGCTAGAATCAATTATTTTGTTTTCATCATTATATTGAATTTCTTATTTTCTACGAATTTATTCGCAGTTTTCTACAAATTCTACAAATGTCGTCTTTTCAATAATAATTCCAGAAAATCTGCAGAAAATCTTTGTGAATAATGAGAAACTAGATCGAATAATGAGAAAACATAAACTAGCAATAGAACAAGATTACTTATTTTATGTCGTCGTTATTTAATAATTTTAAAAAAATAACAATTCTGAAAACGTATCCACTCAAAAAGTACGATTTTGAACGTCGACTTTGCGCTCAAACTCAGGATTTACAGATCTTTCAAAAGTTTTTTTATGTCCCAAATGAATCCTAAAGAATTTGTCCACACCACTGCATACTCAGTTCAACTACCTTACATAGCCAGTCTGTCCCTTTAACAACTTACATCTTTTAAAATTTTCAATTCTAGTTTCTGCTACTAGATCAAATGAACACCACTTTTGCAATCAGAAAAAATATAAATACTATAATATATAAAATTATCATTTTTTCTTGCCTTGAGTAATTATCAGAAGAATACATTGAAGTATAAACTTCATAATGCAAAGTATACCAACACTCCAGTCCGTATACTGAGCATACGCTGTTCTTAACCCAACCTTTATAAATACTTACGATGTATTGATTAATACCTCTTCAATGAATTATCATCATTATTATAATCATTTTTATCAAATAAGTTTTTGTAATTTCCCCTGCTTTTTGTATCTTTACAATTCAGTCCTATTCACTTTATAGTCAATAATACAATTTATATTATTATCGGGTTTAATCTAATAAACTAAGCTAATCAATTCTTAAAGGTATTGTCAACAAACTTTACAGTGCCATTCATTTAACAGATAATAAACTAATAGAACTTTTTTTAGCTTTAACTATATGTACTTTTTTCATTTTACAGAAGAGATCGCATTTAAATTAGTCAAACTTCAGCTTAAAGGAGTTCTTTTTTTACCTTTCCTAATATATGTATTTAAAATTTTTCTGCCTAATAAATGAATGTTTCAAAACTGTCCTAAAAGTTTAATAATGAACTTGTTTTTAAAGCAATCTGTAAGTAGAATCTAAATTATTGTCATACGACTATAAGCTTAACTTATGTAAAAAATCATTTTTATATTATGTTTATTTACTAAAGTAAAACTGGTTTTGAAAATAAGCTGAAATACTATTAATCAAGTTTGATGAAGTAGCTTTAACTGATGACAAAATATTTTTTATAAAATGTCAATTAATTCTAATTTCTAAATTGTTTCAAGACTGAAAATTAATGGCAGCTTCAACTTCAAAGAATGATTTTGCAAAATTCAAATTTTTTCTTCATATTAGCTTAAAGGTAGGAATAGGCATTGTTTTTAAAAACGATGGAAAAAACGTTTCTTTTTTATTGAAACTTACGAACATTTGTTTTTAGAAAACACTCGCAATTTTTCTACATTTTCCCTAAAAAACTTCAGAAAATCTCAATCCACCATTATTAATTTTTTTAAATTATTTTTAAAATACATATATATTAACTAAAATATTTTCTAATTATAAGTATTTTCATCTAAAGCAAACATATTATTGATATGACAGAAAACTCTATAATAATCAGCAAATAATCATGAAAATTATTTTTATCTCTTGTGTTTACGTAAGAAGATAAAAATTAACTCCTCAGTTCATGAAAACTTCATGAAAAAATTGAATTTGTGAAAATGAGAAACATATATATTTTGGTGACAATATGTGTGGCGGCGAGCTCCATAAATTTCCCCTTGGAATCAGGACGGATTGGTAATCGTATGGTTGTTATGGATTCTACAGGAGCTCGTGTAAAACTTGCATGTGTCAACTGGTAGGACTGATTTCTACTATAGAAAATATATAACAATCAAATAATATGAATCTTTTTGGGTGTTGCCTTCGCAGTACTATTCCACATTTTATTTAAATATTTCTTGAAAAAAAATTACAAGGTTTTTATCTTGAATTTAGTTAATTGTATTGTTAGCTAATGAAAATTTTAATTTATTTCATATATAAGTAAATATTAGTATCTATCTGTTAAGTGCCATGAAGATTGTAAGATAAATGATCACACCGAAAGTTAATAAAAAGTGACAAAGAGAAACCACCACAATATTAAATTCTTGATAAAAATACATAGTTAACTATGGTATCATGTTGGTGTTTGGGTGTTTGTCTGTTTGTTTGAATTCAATAAACTTCAAAACGGCTGAACCGATCGGGCCCAAATTTTGTGTGGGACCTCACGTGACCCCATGGAAGGTTTATGAATGATCAAAACTTTAAAAATTGGTGTTCAAAATTTTTTTTATTTTTGTAAAATTTTAAAAATGCGCGGAAAAATATTATGAAATCCGCAAACTTTTTTTGTTTTTGTTTTATACTGTACAAAGAGAAGATGCTCACAGATAAAGCCACAATTAAAAGTTGAAAAAGAAAATGGGCGCGAAGCGCCCTCATGCAAAGCCTAGTAAAGAATAAATAACTAGGTATGGAGCCCACATGGAGGATATGGTAGTGAATGGACTTGATGCTCAAACTATGGATTTTATTTCGGCTAAAATAGCTGAACTTGGATTTAATTGCGTTCGTCTTCCGTTTGCCTTGGATACCCTCTTCCTTAATCCTGTAGTACCTGACAACAGGCTGGTTGCAAACCCAGATCTTATCGGGAAAACTGCAATGGAGATATTTGATAAAACTGTTGAGTCACTTACTGACCATGGTCTTCTTATTATTCTAAACAATCATATGAGGTATTTGCCAATTTTACAAACTAAAATTTTCTTTTGGGTTGAATAAAGGAATTAAGTCTTTACCACAAATTCAAATGTTTAATCTCTTTTATCTTTGCAACCATATTGTGTAAATGATATATCAAACGTTGACTAATTAATCTAATAAAGTTCAAAGTCTTAAATTAAATATCAATGGTCTAAAAAATCAGGTTGCAAAAATAAAAGGATTGAAAAATCAGAGTGGATATCATGTTCTGTTTTTTTATTATTTTCGTTTAATTTAGCACTGCTATGTGGTGTTGCTCCTCCTCTGATGGTGAAGGATTATGGTTTACTGATGAATATCCAACTGCTATGTTTGAAGAAGGACTTCTTCAAATAGTTTTAAGATATCTAGACAATCCTCTTGTTGTTGGAATGGATCTAAGGTAAACAGTGTTTTAATCCTGAATTTATTCAAGTATATATGTCTCTGTTGACTTGAAAAGTCACTATAATAAAATAAAGAGATCTAAAATGGATATTTCTAACATTTATTTAAAACGAAAGTGTTTTGAAATATTTGCATTTAAGGCGGAGTTAAAATTGGTTGATTTAGAAATTAACAAAGGAATTAATGATGAATGTGTGGGTACTTCATGGGAGTGATGTAGATCTTCATGTTGGTGAAGCAGATCAACAGGATCTTGAACAACAGGACTTATCCAACCTAGTAGGCAGAGATCGCAGCTTGTCATGCTGGCTATGAGCGATTATGTTGTCTCTGGAATGCATGATGAACTGGGAACCCTTCGGGTAAGAGCGTCTGCTGCTATCTGAGTATCTGCGTCATCATCATAAAGGAGTCAAGAGGCTCCCTGTGTTGGAGCTGTTACCGGCTCTACTCTCTAAACCTGACTGAATACCGGGAGGGAGCTGGGATGAGCGGAGATTCGACATGTGGGCACTACATGAGGAGGAAATGGATTTGAGTACACATACATCTAGAGAAAAGGCTGGGGCATTTGAGTCGGAAAAATCGTCTTCCTTATATTTCGAATTAATTTTAACAGTCTCATATAACCTGATATCGTATCAAACTATGAATTCTGCTAAATCTAAAGTCAAAGTTTGAAATATCGAGTTATCATACAATCCTGGGTTGCAATGATATAAGGGTTTAGAAATGGCGTTCTTCCAAGTCATCTTTTGTCATGTTCTTTAACATAACAGGCGACGATCTCTCTGATTTGTACGTCACATATTATTAATAGTTTTGCTTTAAACTGTGAACATATTATATTGTTGATAACTTGTTAGTCAAACTAATTACATTTTCTAGAGTTGTGACACATTTCCAGTCTATACATTTAAATTATAAACTAAATATATAGTTTCTCAATTTCTTAAAAAGCATGGAAGTCTGCATTTGTTGCATAACACGAGATGGGTCGACTCGACCCTTGGTAGTCAGACTGGAGAGTACGACTGAATGCAGAAAGTGTTGTACCGGCACGGATCTTACAATTTTTAGAGTGGTGTGGGGGGGGGGCCGGGGGGCAATAATTGGATCGGCTCGTACTTACGTTGTATGTTATTCAGAAATGAATTACGACCAGCCAATGGAGTTCTAGCTGCCTGGGGGAATGGAGATTTCAATGATTGGGCAGCAGAAGCTCAAGTGATCGGGAACCGGATCTTGGAGATCAATCCTGATATTCTCATATTTGTTGAAGGAATCCTCTCCGCTGGAAACCTGATCGGAGCTCTAACTAAGAAGGTTGAACTGACAAATCCTAGCAAGCTGGTCTATTCAGGGCATATTTATCCTTTCAGGTCAATGCTTACTTTCTCTTTCATTTTCTTCCATCTTCTATAAAATAAAGCTCTTCGCTTGTACACAGTTAGACCCATAAAACTGTAGAATAAGAAGACGATATTCAAGCAAACCCTTGTGTATTTGATGTTGTTATAAAGCAAATAGTTTCACCAGTTGCTTGAACATCAACTTTTAACGTGAAATAAGTCTGCGTCTTTTTCACAATTGCTATATCTCTATATTTTTCGTCTACCTATTCTACAGTTCACTCTTGTAGGCAGACGCTGAACTCCAACCTTCGAGTGTGCGAGGTGGGGAAGACTTCACTGCCGCGCTTAATTAAAAGCATGATTAAGGGGGGATGACATTTGTAGATCGAGATTGAATCCTAGCCGCAGCGCTCAACCTAACCTCCCTAAATAAAAGAAAGTGTCATAACTTAACCTAACCCGTGGCCGCAGCGCTCGGCCCCCTAGCCTGTCCTAGCCGCAGTGCTCGGCCCAGAAAGTGTCTTAACCTAACCAAACCCTAAATAAATACTAATTTAATTAAAAATTGTTGAAAAAGTGGTCATGTACAAAAGTAAAATCTGCAGTAAAGTCTTCCCCACCTCGCACACTTGTATGCCTAGTCCATTAGCGCCTGATCCAATCAGAGTTCAGTCATGTGCTTGGTGTCTATTCTGAACCAGTAGAAATTGCATGACGGTAACATCTATCTCATCATCATATTAGAGATAAATCCTTAAATCGGCGCTGACACTAAATGGAAATATTTACTTCTACTGAAGCTATAGTGAGTTTTATTGGTCTCTTGTATATATCTTGTAATTGTTTATATTATTGTTTTAGTCCAATCATCTCTGATCTTCCGTATGATTTATTTAAATTAACCATGCACACAATGCAGACTTTTGTAGCAGACGCAGGTAACTTTTTAATATTTTCTTTAATACTTTAACAATATCTGTTTTGCAGCAGACGCAGGTATTTTTTAATATTTTCTTTAATACTTTACAATATCTGTTTTGTAGCAGACGCAGGTATTCTTTTAATATTTTCTTTAATCCTTTAACAATATCTGTTTTGTAGCAGACGCAGGTATTTTTTAATATTTTCTTTAATACTTTAACAATATCTGTTTTGTAGCAGACGCAGGTATTTTTTAATATTTTCTTTAACACTTTAACGATATCTGTTTTTTTGTAAAACTTTTTTATACTATTCCAAAAGGTTGCAAGTTCTCATGTAAAAATCTATAAGAATTTTGCTAATTAAGTTTTGAATACTAAAATCTAGTGATTTATACTTTATACTCCGATAAATGTTTCGGCCGGTCTCCGTTGATATAGGAATCGGGGTCTCCGTTGATATAGGAATCGGGGTCTCCGATTATATTTCGTCTCCGATTGCACTCCAATACTTTACATTTGCTTTTACAGTTGCTTTATAAAAATGACCACTAAGGAAGGAACTGAGTTTTTCCCGAAAACTCAAATTTTCTAAAACCTATATATATATTTTTGCAAACATAGATATTTTAAACCTATTATATAATTTATGTAAAAGAATTTTAAATATCTAAGATCACGACATTGTACTTGACGCAAAGATTAATAACAATACAGATAGAACACTAGATGTCGTCTTTTCAAGATTTAGGGGTTTTTCGTTCTATAATAAACCTGTGGCAAAGGCCAAAGGAGTTACTCGCATGCTCTCTCTCTCTGTTTTGTAATTCAACGCAGCATGCGCGTAACTCCTCTGGACTTCTGTCTCAGGGTTATTGTGAACGAAAAATCCATAAATCTTGAGAAGACGACATCTAGTGTTCTACAGGGTTTCCCAATAAACATGGGAATTCAGTGACGAATTCGATATCGTCTTTTCAAATAATTCTTTGATTTAGTATGGTGATACCTTCTGAGAAAGCTGTAATCTGTAAGAGTTTCGTCTGCTACGTTCACATTTTGTTTGTTTATGTTTTGACTGCATACGGTTGTACTTAGTAACACAAGAAAATTGCAGTATACAAACAGAGTAAACTTGTCCGTCTTCACTGTTCATCTTGCGGAGACATTATAGACACATCTTTGCAGTCTTTTATCCTTTTCATAAAATAAACTCTAGCAGACATAATAATATTATGGCTTTTGAAATTAGGTATTACAATGCTAATTCATAACAAAGACGATATCGAATTCGTCACTGAATTCCCATGTTTTTTGGTACACCCTGTATCTGTATTGTTATTAATCTGTCTGGAAGAATATGTAGAGATTAGAAAAAAAGTTTCAATTTCTCTGTTGATGTTCTGATTAAACTTTCAATGCTTGAATATTTCTAATCACAGGATTCAACTACTCTGCTCCATATTGGATGGGAGAGTTTGGTACAGGAAGCAACAGTGAGAAATGGCAGCATATTGTACAATTTCTTCAGGTTGGTGTTTCATCATTTCTAACATTTAAGGATATCTTTGTATTGGTTTTAATTCCATTTCACATTTTTCATGATATTTGTAAAAAAGAATTAACATTGATGCATATAAGTGAGGTTGATATCTTATCAATATCCTTCGGAAGAGGGGCAAAGGAACTGAGTTTTTGCCACAAATTATGATTCTACAATCGCCATATCTTTTCAAACTAATAGTGTAAACCTTTGTTTTTCTAAAACTATTTTTATTTGATCTAAAATGATTCATAGTTTGAAATATCTAAGGTTTCCGACATTCAAATGCAAAGATATAGGGATAAGAAAATCAGAGTTTGTGACAAAAACTCAATTCCTTTGGAAAGGGAGTGACCGGCAATGTATGGAGGTTGAATTGAGTATGCAGTATTGTAAACATTTTTTTAGGATTCATTTAAACATATAAACGTTTCCACGATGTTTAATAACTGAGTTTGAGTGCAAAGTCGACTTTTAAAATCATGAATTTGGGTAGGTACGTTTTCAGAATCGGTTTTTTAAAATTATTAAATAACGACGACAAAAAATATAGTAAAAATGCTATAGTATGTGCTCAAACTCCGAAAAAATATACGTCATGGAAACGTTTTATATGTCTCAAATGAATCCTGAAAATTGTCCACAATACTACAAATTCAGTTAAACCACCATACATTCCGTTTTAAAGAAAGATTAAATGAAAACAATTAACACTTCAATATCCCAGAAACATGATCCATAAAATAAAAAAAGTGAAATAAAAATGGAAAAGTTTTCCATGCATTAATAAAGACTGCCAATTGTTAGACGTGTCTGGGATGCGCGATCATCAATATTCCTCTTTTATCATGGTTCATTAAAGCTTAAAGGTTACAAATAAAACTCAAAGGGATTGCAAGCATATTAAGATGGATTACACGATTGACAACTTGAAACCTTCTTCTGATTATCTGATTAATAATGGTGAAGATATTATTGTTTTTATGGATTTTTCTGATCATTATTATATGATTTCTTGTTCTAAAAATGCAAATCATTTTTGTGGAGAAATCACAATAAAAATAATCAGTTTTCAAAACTATAAACATTAATATCTAATTAATACTTGATCAGACAAAGCTTTTAAGTGAACCGTTGGGAATCAGACATTGCAATCTTAACATAAAGGATTACTTGATATTACGCGCATAGTCTCTTTATTTCATGAATTGTATCAGGAAACTGATCATGACTGGGCCTACTGGAGTATAGACGGATACAAGTACCCAGGAGAAGAAGAATCATATGGGATACTGGAGTCAGATTATTCAACTATTAGGTAGGAGTTGGATAATTATGAATTCTGTGGTTTAGTTTAAATACTAAGTTCAACGACTGGTTAAAATAATGTGAGGGTTGGATGTCAGGTTCTGTAATTTTGATCCATCTTGTAGCGTCTAAAGAACTGCAGAAAGAACATAAAATCTAACAATTGTTACCTAGTTCTTCTTACTCATTCATGAAGGAATTGAGTCTTTATCACGAACTCTATTATTTTAAACTTAGAATATGTGATCTAACAGAATTCAAATTTTGAAATATCTAAGATCCACAACATTGGGTTTCAAAGATATAGGGCTTAGAATATTAGAGTTTGTTACAAGAACTCAATTCCTTTCTATCTCTGTTTTATTATGTTTAAAGGGGGGAACTAAAAATATTCATCTTTAAGACATTAATGTAATAAAAAGCCGCTTGGAGCTTTTTCAAAATAGTGCCATACAATTTCATAAATATTAAAAAATATTTGAAGCGATTCTATTAGTCCCCTTTTAAGATAAGTTTACAAATATTTTTTGTATAAAAATATATAAAAATAAAAATTTTAAAATATATAAAAAAGCTGATTTTTTATGAAATTTCGATATTAAGGCATCCCTGGAAGTTAGAGCAGCTGCAGAGTATTATCCCAATTCTAGGAGACCTAACCAAGAAATAAATTGATCTAACTATAAGATATATTTGAGATTTAAAGATTTTTTAAATTATTCTTCAAAGTTTTTTAAATTATGGTAAAAATTATGCCTATAAGCTATTACGTATAGAATTATATTTTTTATTCTTACTTGTTTAAATATATCAATTTTCCACCAACTTAAATCGTCTGTTTTTTATTTGTTTAAGCTGGGCAAACTTTACATTTTGTTTTCACAGAAATCCAAAACTTCGATGTTAATCATCATAAACCTTGGTTAATTCTGCATGAAGATATTATTATTCTGTGTTGACATGTTTATATCTCTAGAATTGTTCTGGGCACTTTTTAATATTTCGTTCAATGGCAAATTTTAAAACCCTATAGCGAAATTTAATCACTGAAAGAAGACGACGAAAATTCCACTGTTTTTTGGTTACCACTGTAAGCAGCAAAACCTAGAAGGAATTCGATGGTTGAAAATAAGAGTTTGCTAAAACATATTTGGTTTGAAGGGTTCGGAAACTGATTTATATTTGCCTGATATTGGCAGGGTGGCCGGGGAGAAAACAGCCAAGATTAATTCACAAAATCTAGAATGTTCTGTATAATTCTCACATTGGGTACAATCTTTCATTTTTCTAACACACATACACACACCTTATACGCACACCTCTTTATGTTCACAGCCATTTAAAATCACAATAGTTAAATTTTTTTACTCGAGAGTTAAAGAGAAACGCATAAAATAAATAATTATGAGTAAAACTCTGAATTCTATTTGATACAAGTTGTGATATGTGTAACAGATTTTAAAAAAGTAGATTTTTAAAAAAAAAAGCTTGATGATCCAACAAATATTTCCATAATAAGATTCTTTACGTCTAGGAGGAAAAAACATATGTTTTCTTTATAAAATAATATATATAAAATATAAGATATATAATAGCAAAGATAGATGGAGTTCCCTTATTCCCCTGAACCATTGCAGCTAGTTACCTTTTACTAGGTTCAGATCCATCATCTGTTCATGTTTACTCTTGTCAAGATACATGTTGGATGGTTTCCGTTCTTCTCTACAATCCATCCCATCCCCTTGCTCCGGCCGTCATAATCCAACCCAACCCCCATTCCCTTGCTCAGTCCTCTTCAACCCAACTCCAATCTTCTTCTTTTACCAAATATCTAACCCAACTAATTAATCAGTCATAATCCAAGTCCAGCCAAATTCCGATCCCCTTCCTCTTAATCCAACCCACTCACTTCTCAGTTCTAATCCTATCTTCTCATTTCTCCGTTCTAATCCAACCTTCCCACTTCTCCTGTCTAATCCACCTATACATTTCTCTGTTCTAATCCAACCTACTCACTTCTCCGTTCTAATCCAACATACCCACTTCTCCTGTCTGATCCGACCTATACATTTCTCAGTTCTAATCCAATCTTCTCACTTCTCCGTTCTAATCCAACATACCCACTTCTCCTGTCTAATCCGACCTAAATATTTCTCTGTTCTAATCCAATCAACTCACTTCTCCGTTCTAATCCAACCTTCCCACTTCTTCTTTCTAATCCAACCTATATATTTCTCCGTTCTAATCCAACCTACTCACTTATCCGTTTTAATCCTACAACGTTCCCATTTCCATCTCTGTTCTAATCCAACAAAACTCCCATCCCCTTCTCCGTCCTAATCCAACCCAACTCCTATCCCTTTCAATTAGTCATAGTCAAAGTTCAACCCAACTCCCTTTTCCGTCCTAATCCAACCCAACATAAGTTTTCTGTCTTATCAAACCCAACTCACATCCCCTTCTTCGTCCTTATCCCATCCAACTCAATTCTCGGTCCTAATCTAACCCTAATCCCTTCTCCGTCCTATTTAGTCCAACTTTCATTCACTTTTCCGTTCTATCCCCTCCTTTTCTCCGTCTAGTTTAACCCTCTTCTCCTTTTCTTTACTCATTCCTTTTCTTATCCTTCGCTTGCGTACTTTAATCAACCTTCCCAGTCTTCTAACCTTCTTTCTCTATCCACCTACCCTCAATAATAACAAGAAGCATTCATGTCAATTAATATTCACAATTACGCAATAGTAAATATTAAATGAAAGAATTCTTGAAAACATGATTAGTGTGTAGATATTCAACAATAAAATTAACTTTTCATAAATTTTTTTCATGTTGACAAAAAAATACATAATTAGAAAAGTTAGTTAGCGGAAAGTACTAAACTTTTCATCGTGAACAATTATATAAAAATCTCGACCGTCAATAATTTAACCTATTATTGGAAACAAAATTCAGTAAATTGTGCTTTGAAAAAATAGCATGTTATTCTAAACCCCGAATTACCCCTCGCCCCCCTGTAGATCTGTATGTTCTAATTGAATATATCTAGCTTGAGTCTATATCCTGATAGATTTATATGTATTATTACAATATAAATACAACATGATATAATTGTAGATATTGTGGGGAGTAATGTGGTTACGATGATGTATATTGCGTGTACGAGTTGAAGTGCGGGGGTGTCATTCCCCCCCTCCCCTTGATGGGGGGGTCCACCCCCATTTCCCTAAAACTAACCAGACAAAGAACTTATGATATGTTGAGTGCCTCTCGACCATATCTTCTATATACTTATCAGTTACACCCCCTCCCCCCCCACCTCCCACCCAAACAAAAAGTATTTTCTGAAGGGGAGCAGAAAGGGATTACAACCCTTGAAATATCCAGAGTTGGTCCAGATATAAAAAATCTACCTTTCCCAAAAAGAACTTTGTTTACATCTAAACCCTTGAGAATCCCCCAACCCTGCTCCAACCCCTTCCTAAACTGCAACCCTGCTCCAACCCCTTCCTAATTTGCAACCCTGCTCCAACCCCTTCCTAAACCACAACCCTGCTCCAACCCTTTCCTAAACTAAAACCCTGCTCCAACCCCTTCCTAAACTACAACCCTGCTCCAACCCCTTCCTAAACTACAACCCTACTCCAACCCCCTCCTAAACTACAAACCTGCTCCAACCCCTTCCTAAACTACAATCTTGCTCAAATCCCTTCCTAAACTGCAACCATGCTCCAACCCCTTCCTAAACTACAACCCTGCTCCAACCCCTTCCTAAACTGCAACCATGCTCCAACCCCTTCCTAAACTGCAACCATGCTCCAACCCCCTCCTAAACTACAACCCTGTTCCAACCTCTTCCTAAACTAAACCCTGCTCCAACCCCTTCCTAAGCTGAAACCCTGCTCCAACCTCTTCCTAAACTACAACCCTGTTCCAACACCTCCTAAACTAGAATCCTGCTCCAATCCCTTCCTAAACCACAACCCAACTACAACCCCTTCCTAAACTGCAACCCTACTCCAACCCCTTGCTGAACCACAACCCTGCTCCAACCCCCTTCTAAACTACAACCCTGCTCCAACCCCTTCCTTAACTACAATCCTGCTCCAACCCCTTCCTAAAATACGACCCTGCTCCAACCCCTTCCTAAAATACAACCCTGCTCCAACCCCTTCCTAAACTGCAACATCTGGGGACACAACTCGGAGTAAAGTTGTCATAACCCCGTTTCCCGGCTTTTTTATGGAAATATGTTGAAATATTGGATATTTAGAGAATGAATATTGGTAAATTATGCGGGATATTTCATATAAGTTACGGAATATATTTCTTTATTAACCAGGAGAATAGCTAGATAGTTAGTTAGATTCTTAATAGATGCAGAATAGAGAGTAGAGGAGAAGAATAGAATAGTATATGGGGAAGAGGAGATGAGTAGAATAGAATAAAGTGTGGAAGAAAGATAAGAATAAAATAGAATAGAACAGAGGGTAGGGGAGAAGAACAGAATAAAATAGAATATAGGGTAGAGGAGAAGAATTAGATTAGAAAAAAGGAAAGAGTAGAGCATGAGAATAGAAGGTAGAGGACAAGAATATAATAGAAGTTAGATGATAAGAATAAAATGGAGGGAAATGGAAGGTAAAGGATAAGAATAGAATAGAAGGTAGAGGATAAGAATAGAATAGAATATGGTAAAGGATAAGAATAGAATGGAAGGTAAAAGATAAGAATAAAATAGAGGGTGAAGGATAAGAATAGAATAGAATATGGTTTAAAGGAGAAGAATAAAATAGAATAGAGAATAAAGGAGAAAAATATAATAGAATAGATAAAATAATATTTCCTCCCAAGTCTCGTGACGACTTTCCAAGGGCATCTTTATTTCACACATCCTTTTCTAGTTTTATATTCAGCACTAAAGAACTAGATATAGTTTTCAGCAGTAAACATTTCAGGACATTTAGAGAATAACATGTTGTCGTCTTCTTGAGATTTCAGCATTTATTCGTGAACATGATTCCTTGTATGTCCTAGCAATTATGTACAATTCACCTTTTGTTTTTATTTAATAAACAAAACCATCTTTTAAATTCAAAAGAAGGAAAAGCACATTGTCTTGCAATTGTTTAGTTATGAAAGACCAAAGACGATCGTTTTTTTATCATGTTTAGTGGGACATTATTTCATCATTATTGTTTTGTTTTCGATAGACAAATTATATCTGTATAAAGCATATATCCCGATTTCTTGAAGTATACAAAGAAGGAAAACCACATTATGGAAAGCTCAAAAGACCACGTAAACTACAGAGTACAGGGTGTTCTAAACATGGGTATTAATTGACGACTTCTATATTGTCTTCTAAATATAATTTTGTAGTATCACAATTAAAACATTTAACACCGAAAACTACTGGTATTGGGATTTCCAAATTGTGGTCTAACATGTTTTCACTTTCAAAACCAGATACCAGTTAATTAAAATCAACAAAACTGTTCAAATGTTTAATATCTCCGTCAATTTTTAAGATACAAAGAAGGTAGACCACATTTTGATAAGCTCATTAGACGTTCGATCTTTTTTGATGCACTTTATGTCAATTATCAATTAGCGGAAATCAAAGACGATATTCAAGTCGTCACTCAATTTCCATGTTTATTGGGACACCCTGTGCGTGCAGCGTCCTGTCTGTGACGAAATATTTGCAGTCATATTTTGTTCTCTTATTAAAAAAAATCTTCAAAAATAGCGTAAAATACCTTTTTTACTTATATAAAAAAAAAAAAATAGCCCAACAAAAAATTTACATACATTTAAACCCTAAATAAGCA